TGGGATCAAATTTTTTTTTACGGGAACTTCCCGTCCCTTAACGTCCCCATCCCTAGTACCTGGACAAAACAATTCATTTTCTTGAATTCTTTTGATTCCGTACCACGATTGCTTTGACCTTGTCAGGTCTGCACAAACACCGTGCTGAATAACATAGCAGGTCCATGTGCAATTCGTCGAAGTTCTACAACCTTCGTTCTTCGAATGAACAAAAATATCGTCAAAAAAGGTTTGTGCGAAGCGTCGCAGTGATCGAAACAGATGGGAGACCAATTGATTGAGCGCTGCTGGGCCATTGGATAGTCCTTGTGGCATCACAAGCCACTCCCATATTATACCGGACGGTGTACTAACGGCCTTTAAAGGGATGTCCTTCTCCCTCATCAAAATTTGAAAATATTTAAAGCCAAACCGAGCAGACGTAATTGTGTACAGCCGGACTTCTAGGGGATGATACATTACGGGATCGGCATTTGAGCGGGAATCGTCAGCGCATCCAGCTTGTTATTAACGTGAACGATACGCCAACTACCATCTGGTGTACGATCAATTCTACGCTACTAATAGGTTTACGACACAAAACGTGGGTGCGCTGTGAGATGGGACTTGCTCTACTTTACCAAAGCTTGCTTTTAAGCAAAGAAGTCCACTCTGCACACGTGACAGTGACCACTGTCTAAGCACTGCATGCTCTGAACCAGCTCCACTATCAATTTCGTGTCGAACTCCTTGTCCGGGTGGAAGACCAGGGGGCGGCTTCGAATTGAGGACGTCATTCCTGTATTCCATAACAAGTAAAAAATGAGATCAGTTGGATCCCTCAAAATGGCCTACCGCTCTGAGATTCCACACGCTGATGAAATATCTCGAGCATCGAATCATCCATAACTGATGATGAGCGTAATTCCCCTGAGTCGATCTTCGATCGTGGCAACACGACCTCCGTAACGAGATCACACTCCTATGTGACTTCTTTAAGCTGCACTAGCTCTTACATCGTCGGCAACGGTGCCAAACGAACATCTGTTCTTGTAACTTCACAACGAGTTGTTGCATTCGTAATACGTTACACCCGGAGAGCGATAAACAAAGAGAACGTGCCAACCGAGTGGTTGGTGACGTATTGAAAAATTTCTGTGCGGAAAATTACGCAGAATGGAGTTCGTTGTTAATTTTCGTTGAGTTTGCTATGAACGATTCGGATAATTCATCCACAGGATTTACGCTCGTATTATGAAAGGCTTGCGACACTCACGGTTACTGCTTTGTGCGATGGGTGGAGTCTCTGTTTAGGTGGGGGAGGAGCACAGCAAATCGTTGTCTCTCAAATTGATACAATAAATGATGCAAATGTGAAGTGCAAGTACATGGACGCCCTGGACTCATTTATTATGCGTCGTGTGAATATGATCTCACGAGACGACCAACATACCTCCAAGCGGTGGAGTTCCCACCATAAATACGATGAAAATAGATCCTAGGTACCAATATCATAGATTAAATTCATTTTACTAAATCGGATAACGATAAAGTAGAGCCGAATCGGGTCATTGTGTCTAACAGAATATTGAAAGCGATCGATGATTCTCATATTTGGACACATCACCCCGAGTGAGCTAGACGACCAAAGCGTTATCACCTCGAATATGAACAAATAAATGAATGCTGCACTTTAAACTCCATCGACATACTAAGACGCTCTCATATCTTAACAATCAACTATCCAGCAAAGCTGAATAAAATTAATTATTTGATGAAAAGGATCACTTACTTGAAAAAAAAGTTTGTATAGATTGTTCATTATGTTCCCCAGGCAAGCAACTCTTACGTCCGATAGAGCTTCTTTTTGACTTTCATAAATTCAACGTTGGCATCAAAGACCATTATTTCCTAATAATGCCCCATCTTCATTGGAGTGGATTATTGTAGCGCCTATAACAGCGCTAATCGATTCTATGACAGCGGCTTAAGCTTCATATTGCTTAAACAAGTACCATGTCAGAAGGTGATCGGAACTAGGTTGGAGCGTGCAACAAAAACTCTGACATCGAGCGGTTCAAGGATCGACTTGTGACATCGAATTATCTACAGAACTACGAAGTGGACTATTCGGAAACCTGTTCTCCGGTCTCGAACAAGAACTCGATTTGTCTTTTTTGGCATTATGTTGCCATTTGGGTCAATTCATCCACCAGTATAATGTTGATACTGCGTTCTTAAGCGATTTTCTGGGAGACAAAGTGTATATGTATCCGCCCAAGGTGTCGAAGCAAGCCCGAATCAAATTTTTAAGCTGGATCGAAGTCTTCACAGTCATCTCATGTGTGTTCTCGGATATGACTTTCACACCATGCGATTTGGATCCGTGCATTTTTGTTCGCTAAGGTGGCAAGATATGGGTATATGTGAATCGGTACGTCGACGATATGATCATCGGAGCCGAGGTGCTTGAATTAATCACGATTGTTGATGATGGACTCTACAAACCATTTGAAGCTGAATTTTGGGCAACGTATCTCGATATCGAAGTCGAATTCAAACAGAGTGCGAAGCAGCTTAAAATCATCCAAAGTGCATGCAATGCGAGAGTGGTCGAGAAATTCAATCAAGTCAACGCAAAGCCTATTCACAACCCAGGCGTGGTAGGCCAAGGCTTAATTAGGTGAGAGAAAGAGGAACCAAGAATGATCCTCCACTCGTTGGGTCACTTCTTTGTGTGGCAGCTGGGACAAGACCCGACGTTGCATTCGCGGTCTATCAATCAAGTCAACGATAAAAGCAACCCCGCAAAGAACACTGGACTGCGGCAATTCGCGTTTTCCGCTATTTTAGGCAAATTGCGACGAAAGGAATTTGCTTTAGAGACAATCACAGCGATCACGAACTGAGAGCATACAGTGATGCCGACTGGGCGAATGTTGCGTTCGACGTCCGGTGCGATGCCCACGATCAACATGTTCCAATCTATTACAAGCCAGAATATCAGAACATTGCCCCACTCATCACAGCAGAAGTCGAAGCATGTGGCACTTAATACCAGCGTTTAAGACGTGTTGTGGTCGAAGATCTTATTATTAAAGATGCAGGTGAAAGCCAAGTATTCAGTGGTTGTGCATGACGTTAACCAGAGCGTGATCACCGTCGCAAAAAACAACCACCGTCAAGTCAAACCCATCGACGTCCGTTATTATATCGACCGTACACAATTTAAGGCCAAGTCTGTCGGCGTCCAGTACCACAAAGATGCAATGAGCCAACTTTTTGATAACCAAATCTGACAGAGCCGTAGAAACTCCTGCTGATCAAGTTCAACATTGAAACTTCTCGTCAAGGGTGGTGTTGAAGATTAGTCACTGTAGCGGTTAAGGATAGGTAATGAACAAGATGCACCAAGACAGAGCTATTTGCATAGCTTTTTACTATAGATAAAGGATATCGAGGGAAACGGACAGCATGTTTACGATTCGTAGAGACCAATCAATCGCTTTTTAATTATGTAAGAGGACGGTGTTCAAATCAGTCCCTCAAACACATTACGCACGTTTGTGCGTTGAGGAAGCGATCTTCGACGTCGAGGGAGAAGGACAGTTCTGACTTGGGGAGAAGAATAACGAATAATTCATATAGAGGTAAATTTGCAACTGAATTGAAATGAATTTATGGTTCCTAGCTACTTGCAAAATATTTGTGGGGCTCGTAGAGGTTCTACTAATGAAAGCATAGGCTCCTGTTAAAGAATGAACCTCAGCTTAAACTCATACAAAATCACGGGTGTACGGAGCTTGAACTGCAAGTTTCATGGAGAGTATCGAGTAGAAGTGACTGGCTTACGCCGCCCACTTTGAATTACAGAGACGCGTCTGTCTCGTCACCATTACAGATTCCAAGTAGAATCCAATATTCTGTATCACACAGAATGCTCGTGACTTCATATAAGAAGTCATGGATGCATTTGGGGACACCATACTGTAAACTTTGTTTATCAATCTCCACTGTGCATACAGAAAGTTCATAGATGTACCTCCATTCAATGGCTCAATGTAGCTCATTACAAATTCTCTTCTTGAGCACACTCCCCGAACTTTCTCCTGTGCCTCGCTCATCAAGCATAGAGCGATGATCATATATTTAACGTAAGTCTTTCTTTGAAATTTGGGTATATGAAAAATAAACAAGTTTATAGAAAACATGGCAAGATACATATTGTTTTCACACTGATACTTGAACTTGAAGCTGCCGGGTGTATAGTTGCTATTCTTTTGGATAGCTTAAGTGAGAAGGAAAACAAAAGCAAACATACACAACACCACGCCTTCGCCTAAATTAGAACCAGCTCACATAATTACCAACCCGCGTCTCAAACAATCACATTATCAACACTAATTTATTATCCAATCACCCGACTTTTCAAAAGGACAGTTACGAGTGAATATATGATTGCTCCTCACGTACTTGTTTTGTGTGTGTTGCTTGTATGTACATGCGATTGTTGTAATATCTGTGATGTTTTGTTATTGTGTACCGTAGAGCGTACGTAGCCGTCCATGTGTGTTTTTACGTGGGATGTTACTTCAAAAGAGCATTAATAATGTAATTTACTCGAGATCTTGTAAATCGACCCATCTTATTTCGCGTCATGCGAGTATCTCGTAAATTATTTGGGTACAAGAATGGATACAACGAAGAAACCACTAACGCCAAATAAAGTTTTGTGCGAATAAACGCCATTTTGATCGAGTTTGTCGCCAAATGACGTTTTGTGCGAACAAACGCCATTTTGATGGAGTTGGACACCATAACCAAAAATCTTATCTCGACATGACCTGGTACACCTCAGTCGTATCAGGTAAACGAAGTGCATAATTCCTTTGTGTTGGTATATTAATTACAATCACTGCTAGACATATCTAACCAAAGATCATGAATGCATTGCTGCAATGTCTCCAAATCTTCAATAGGCATACTAGAATTCTCGGCCAGTGTAAGTGCGGTCTTTGTAATGATTTTAACCTCCTCCCAGCAACCACGTGCAAGCAAATTACCAGCATAATGATAATGAACCATGGCAACCGTCGCATTTAAGTCAATGAGAAGATAGATGTCGGATGTGGATGCGTTGACTTCACGATCACTTGCTTTGTCACAGTGTTTTTCATACACTTCAATTGCGTCTTCAAAGTACTTTAAAGCTATGTCTGCGTTATCACTGATACGCAACACAAGTTAGCGGCGCATTACCGACACAAGCTCCATATCGCATACAGATTCTCATAACACACTGCAAGAGCTCCGATAGTTGTCAAGCGCATGTATGCGCCCCAGACCGTTTCTTCTGTAGAGATTTTTTTCAAAACCTCAACAGCTTCTTCATAATACTTGATAGCAGTTTTTGTGTTCCCGAATTGCGCGTCATATAGTCGTGCAATACAGAAAACAGCTTCAAATGCATCAGCATCTGCAAGTCATGATACAAGCATGAGACATTCCAATCTATGATTAAATAACTCGAGGACAGCACCTTGCTCATTCCGCCGCTTAAGAATTCCATAAAGATCCAGTAAGAGCTCAAGTTCTCGTTCACTGTTTTGCTACCACATTACAAAGTCTATGTGTAGAAACAAACACTCGCATTGTCACGGACTAACACGCACCTCCACGCGACTCTGCTCGATCAGGTCTAATAATGTATCTAAGCGACAGCTGATTGTCCTATCGTTAGACATCGGGGCAACTGTACCCTACGTTATTAGCATGATAGCGATCAAAGTAGCAGATTAAAATCTTTGAAATTTTATCTAATGTACCTCTTGAAGTGGTCGATTCACCTCATTCGTCTCCTCCTTCTTTGCGTACGTTTGTATTTCTCGAAGCCATTTATATCTAGTTTGCGCTAACGGCTGAACAGGCACATTGGTGGGCACAAACTTTGCTCTGCTATGAGTTCGTTGCCAGACATAATTAATCATCAGCGCAGTGCGGCTTGTCGGTTGGAGGTGCATGGCCAAACAATAAACTTTAATAAGTTTTAGCCTATACCGTACCAAATGTATGCCACACAACCTTTAGCCATCAAAAGTGTCCTACGCAAATTGCTTTTGAAGTGTAAAGAAATAACATTTGGGTCGCTTGAAACGCGCGACTCATTATGGATCATATCTCTGTTCTTCGTAAACTTAAGTCGGTGCCTCTCGCGAAGTGTCATAGATAAGTACAAATTATGACTCTCTATCTTCTCTTTTCTCGTAAAATCAAAGCAGCTAACGCAGTGGTGAAATTTCTTGGGGAAGCATAGTTTGGTCGCTCAGTTTCCAACATGACAGCTGCAAATCAAGGGATACCACTATTTTATTTCTTTCTTACTTTGATATGCAAATGATTTATCTAATTAAACACAGATTTATTTCAAAACTATCTATCACGCAGATTTTGCGCCATTGTGTATTGACAATATAGATTCGTTCATCAGATAGCAAAGAATGTCTAAATCAAAATCTATCATAATTCTACCTAAAACAGCTGCAACCCACAATGCTAGACGTCTTGTTGGTGTTGTCCTCTCGCAATCAATTCTGTATGTATATTTAAATGAGTTCTGGATTATATTATTCGTGAAGAAAAACGATACATATGGTAGATAGAAGAGCAGATACATACACGAAGACTCGACACATCGACAAGTTCAATGAGCAGATGTGAAAGAGTGTGTGTGGACTCTGTCTCTAGTATAGCTCAGTTTTCCCTCTGGGCGGTACTACATCCACCTTACACGTATCAATTAAAAAGTTGCAGGAATTTTGTAGGTTTGTGGCTGATAAGGTCTCAGCTAAAAGTATATTAGCTCAATACCAGTAAATTGCGATTCTTGTTTTCTTTTATTAAGAGCACTCAGGAATTCTTTTTGTGGCGCTTCGTTCCGCTTATTGTGCGGTATAATATTTTATAAGTGCTCGTATTGACACCTATAATGTGTTCGCTTGGTACTTCCAGGGTGGATGCAAAAGCAGAACTAGTATCATACTTAACATAAAGCAACTACATGACTAAAGATCAGCTTTCGGCTCTGTCTTGTATTAGATAAAATGAGAACCTATTACATTGCTTCATTCCGCTGGGGATTTTTTATTCTTGATTTAAATTCTTGATTTTTCTTGTACGAGTCGCCATCCTTATTGGCTGTTATCGGTAATATTTTGCATGCAGCCGACGTTTCTTGCATGTTTGGTACGATTACGATTTTGTCAGCCGAAGGGCTCGAACCCGCACCACACAACGTTAGGCCCAGAAGCATTGTTTTAGTGGCGTTGAATGGTGATTAATATCATATAATTCTCGCCATATTTCTAAAGAGCTTTCATAATTGAAATTCAAAGTCACATCGGCAGCACGTATTAAAAATGTCCTGTGTGAAGCGCATATATCAAATCAAAACACTAGAAAATTGTAGTCTTGTGTGCTTACCCCTTAAATAATTGGTGAAATACAATGCTGTGCAGTTGTACGATTGAAACTTATCAGAACAATAAAATCCGAAAACGGGAGGTCCGTGGTCACTTAGTATGCTATCCACCCGTCAGACACGAAGACGGGACATAAATCAAGACAGTACGCGTATATGTGGTATTTTTTCAAAAAGAATTAATGATTGATATGCGTCCCAAATTGCATTTCAAAGTTAATATCCTGTGTAGACTAGGTTCCGCTCTTGGAAAAACCCTGTGTGCGTTTGTATGCGGAAATCGCTGGAGTCAAAGCCTTCTCTAAGCAAAATGCACGGCAATAATATTGTACTCGGAAACACTTGTAGTCAATCCCACGAGGAAACGACTGTAATTCGTTGCGAGGGTGATATATGATTTATTTTGATACCTGTTCACGGGATAAAAGGACCAGATTTACGAGTTCATTTTATTGTAGGCACCGATAGAAACAAGAAGTAGTGGTCAAAGGGTGCGAATCTCCCCCGTGAAAGTGCTCGCAAGAGCTGGCGAGATACATCCAGGGGTATATGGCATTGCTATGAAGCCGATTATTTCGAGCCTCCTGGCTTGTGGTGGCTGGCGTGGAGATAATCTATCTATGAGGGAGTTCAAGATGGCCATGAAACCGGCCATGCCCAATAAGAACACCAGCAGGTTGTAATTATGGTCTTAAAGCCAGGACACCGCGCGCAAAAATGAGCTTTAACGTGTAATTCCTCGGTAAAAGAGGTGATCTCGACGGATCTCGGGTGCATTCGCCCTCCCAAATTTTGTGTATCGAACATGTTCGAAGTTTCTTACCACGCGTCAAGGGAGTTAAGAACTGTAGGAGTGTGTACGGGAGTGGGTTTGTGAGCTTTTGGCCGCAACGACCTCAGACACACACACACCCGTAGGCGGAAACAGTTCTATTTTTTTAGATGATTTTCGAAAAAGTGCGGTTTGCACTGGTTCCCTTCTCGTCTACCCTAATTCTTTCATAGGGACGTGAGCGCAGAAGTGAGTGTGGAGCGCAAGTTCAGTTTAACGGGAATTTCTCGTCCGTGTACACACACGCTCTGAGGAAATATTAGATCAACTGACATCCAGCTGTTCGTTGACTTCCGTAGATGAAATCAAGAAGATTTTTTATTATAGCCAATAGGCCTTGTAAGCTCTCTTACCTGATAAGCATTTCCAGTTCTGATACAACAGAACTGAAAGGGGATAGAAACTATACAGGTGTACAGTTAATGTCAGATACACAGTATATGGCCTGCACAATATGTGCAATGGTACCAGCCCCATCACACCATCCCTCACTCAAAAGGGGGTTTATCTAAATTCTTACAGATTTCTTCAACTCTTTTCCAAGGTCTTCTTCAGATTTTTCTCCAAAATTTCATCAGGCTTTTTGTCAGACTTTTCTTCGAGCTCTTCTTCCGCTCTCTGTCTAGTTCTCGCTAAAGCAACAACCCAAACGCTTGCTCCACATGTAATCACCAAAAGACGTGGTGGTTCCACCTATAGATTCGACGATCTCCTTAATTAAATGAGTGCTCGACTGATGACTTGAGTCGCGTATTTTCGCACCACGGGCCGATTACTCTTGCTGGAGGTGAACCACGAAGCCAAACGTATATACCATACGTCCAATATTCCAATCTGGATTCTATCCAAACTATTAACACTCGATTACGGGCATGGGTTGATGCGACCAAATTCGTGGACATCCACCGTTTGCAAAGCGCACGCACAGCTGATGACTGGTCAAAGGTACGCGATACGCGCTTTCGATTTACGCTTTTGACAGCGCAGAATCGGGTCCATTCCAAAAGCGAAGATGATAGTGATGTGCGCTCTCTTATTGATCGACCTCACGACAAAGAGACAAGGGTAGAAAAGCAAGAAACAGCATCCCTATGCGGAATCCGTCTACGGACCGACATCGAACGCGTGAACGATGCTGGGACAGTCGCGACGAATACGAGCACGAGGCTTTCACGTATTCTCGCTCACTGGATACTCCAGCCATTTTACCAGGAGCTCATTTCGGCTGCGCACATTCCTCTACGTCATCACGTTCTCGACGTGATAGTATCGATTCCCTTGTCGTTTCAGAAGCGGGCTGGAAGGCCGGAGCGGCCATCCCCTTTGCTTCTTCAATGGCTAGTCCAAAACCTTCGTCTGCCTTGGAACTGCGTTCGACGATAGTGGAGAAGCTCTTATCGCTGATGAACCAGCGGCTGATCAATGTGTGTTGTCGCGTGTGGGATAATCGACAGGTCGCTCGCGAAGTTCGCGATGTCGCACGGCGTCATGGAAACTCGCCGGGGATGCAATCGAGAATCGAAATTATCGATTGGAGCAGACGCTATAGTTCTCCCTCCTGCTGCGGCTGCTATGCTTATGACGTGGGGGCTCCTGCCAAGCGACCTCGATCTGTTTGGGTATTTTGGATTATTCCCGTCATTTTGAAGATGATATTAAGGCGGTGACGCCAAAGGGTTCATTTTTTGACCTTCTTACCGAAGCCGTGGTTCAAAGCCACATTTGTATACCGTCGCTTTAATCCAGGCTGAAAGCGTATCGTCGCAATGGTGGAGATTGAAGAGTCCTACGTAGAACGCTGGATGTTTTCTGATCCAGCTTAACAGGTCGAATGTGCAAGCATTCCCATGGCATGACACTACTCGGAATGGACCGATGAAGCGAAGTAATAACTTCGAGCTTCCTAAGCTTGAGACCCATGATCTGATAAGTTTTTAGTATTAAGTTGTACATAATTCAGCAATAGAATACATTATACCTTGACGACCTCGTGTTTATGCGTATTCTTCTTGCACATCTCTTGTGATCGACCTCCATCGGTTCGATATTATTCTAATTGGATCTAATCGCTTATGTGATTTATTATCTATGTCGAGCCGGACATGTTGGGACAGCTGATTATTATCAACAACTTGCATATACCTGGATCGGTTATTCATTGAGAAGGACAGAGCGAGTACACTCCACTCAATTGAATTCAAATGCCACTTTCAATAAACCTTCACTACGTCTGATTATCCCAAAGATATCATCAAAATGCTTTTTTCCAATTTTGTACGCTTTGCCTTGTCAATGTGTGCGAAACCTTGAGCTCCGAAAACATGCATATTTGAAAGATCAGCCTTCCTTCCAAGTCATATCTCCAATGGAGTCTTCTCCGGATGAGCAGCACGTGGAACTCGGTTGGTCATATATACGGCCCAGGTCATCGCTTCAGCGTAACATTTCTTCTCCATTTGCATGCAACTGATCATTGATCTTGTACACTACGTGGTTGTTCTGTTAATCCGATCCGTCACCAGTTTTGTTGATGCAAACACGAAACCGCAGCTTGATGGACGCTGACAGCCTTTTGTCAATCTTAGTTGAAAGCTTATTGGTGTATCCACTACCATTGTCGGTGCAAATACAGTTGACCTTGGAATTTCATTAGTTTACCATCATGGACTTGTACATGTATATCCACCACTTCAGACTTGTGAACGATGTAG